ACGGCAGTGGGTGTGGTTTGGGCTTTGCTTCTGTGAAGATTGACAGCCTTGGAGACGCTGTGGGCAGTCCTTCTGTGTCCTGATGGGTCACTGTGAGTCGGAATCAGCTCCCCGGCAGTGGGTGATCTTCACGGATATAGGTCACCAGATCTTTTGTCCTGCTGAGCCCGTGATGGGTTAAGACTGCTGACCTATCGGTTAACAGCCAGCCACTGTGCCACCAGGCCTCCTTGGTGACATACTACTGAGCTTTTGCAGAGAAGGCACAGCAGTGAGAGTCTACCAGTATTTCAGTCACCTCTTTCGTAACTTTGGGCACAGCTTCTCCACCCTCACTAACTTGGAGGTTAGACCCTTCTGATTTGCCCTGTGTTGCTAAGCCACATCATGGAAGCACTTGTTTGGGCCTCATGCCCTTAAAAGTTCTGCCAGCCAAAGTCAAAATGATCGCTGTAAGAACGTTTTAAGTGTCTGCCTGCATGACTGGATCAAAAGAAAATTATGGTTCCTGCCCTTTAAGATCTTATGGTTGCAGCGATACTGATGGATTCAAAAAGTGCCTCAACCACTGATTGGTACACGTGAGGGAATTTTACGGCATGTGAATCATACTCAGTTTTAAGAAGTACACACAGCGTTAGAAGCAAATACGCACAACTAACATTCCAGGGACAGATGCCAATTGTGAAGTAGCTAGAAAACCTGAAAGAATAGTTTGGTCTGGAGGGTCATCAGGAGCCCTTTCTTCCTTCTCTTCTGGTCTGCTTTAATGCACTCACTGATGAGAGTGGATTATGAGACCAGTTTGAAGGGAGAAGGGGAGAGGCTTTGGAAAAAGTACAGCCTGGGCTAAAAATACCATTTGAAGAAAATGGACAGACGTGAAATTATGACATGAGTCAGTGGATCTGAAGGAAGAGGAGAACGAGTGGTGTAGTCTCAGGGAAGCTTATTCAGAAGCCCGGGAAGTGTGAGCAGCATCCGTTTTCTCTGGTTGGGCTGCTGTGTCACGCTCAGTTCTGTAGTGCTCAGGGCTGGGTGGAGTCCCTGTCGGCCCACACGATGCCTGACTCTGCCCCCACTCCCACTCTCAGGCCCGGGAGAGGTGGAGGGGTGGCTTGGCTTCCTTCACACAAGGCTTGCCCGTCTTGGATGGGAGTCGTGGGAGACTCCATTGGTGGATTAGTGGTATCAGGAGACCCATCGGGTCGTGAAGCTTCTACTCTGTACATCTCAAGTGACAAAGTTGACTGGAGTCTTCGGTCTGAGCACCACCGGTAGATCAGGAGACCCATCGGGTCGTGAAGCTTCTACTCTGTACATCTCAAGTGACAAAGTTGACTGGAGTCTTCGGTCTGAGCACCACCGGTAGCCGTTCTGTTGATTCTGACTCGGTGACCGCACGTGTGCAGAGTAGAAGCAGCTCCGCCGGCATTTTTCTAAAGTGGCTCTGGGTGGGTTTGAACCACCAACTTTTTGGTTAGTAGCTGAGGGCATGTTAACTGTTTGTACCACTGAGAAGAAAAACACACAAATCAAACTCTGTGCTGTGGCGTTGATTCTGACTTGCAGCAACCCTGTAGGATGGAGGGAGTGGAGTTGCCCCAAAGGATTTCTAAGGCTGCAAATCTTTCTGGCAGTAAACTACCACATCTTTCTCCCATGGAGTGGCTGGTAGATTCCAACTGCCAGCCTTGGGATTAGTAGCTGAGTGCTTCAACCACTGCACCACCCGGGCTCCTGAACCACTGGGCTGATGATGCTGTTAGACCCAAAGCTAGATACTGCTTTAGTTTATTTTCCATTGAAACTAGTGTTTGAAGAAGGACCAACTTTAAGTAATTGAATGTTTTCAGCTTCTTTTGCGGGATGTCCTATCATTTAGAAATTAACCAAAGGACATCCCATTTTGTCACATTGTTAACAGTGACTGCTGCGGTCTTCTGGGAGAAGTAGAAGTCTCTAGATTTAACCAGGTATTTAATCACCAAATCTGTTACAGATTGTAAGTTTCAGATCGTGAAAAGCCTGATGTAGGCAGAATTTCTTTTTCTATTATTACTATTTTTTTAATTACAAGGAACCTCAAACCAGTTACCCAGCTTTACGTCAGTGTGGATGCTAGCACCAAAGACAGCCTGAGGAAAATCGACCGCCCACTCTTCAAAGATTTCTGGCAAAGATTCCTTGGCAGTTTAAAAGCATTGGCTGAAAAGGTAAGAACTGTGATGTCATGAGAGATGGAGAGTGAGTTTTAGTCTTTTTTTTTTTTTTTTTAATCTTTGGTAAAATTTAAGAGTAAAAATCTTCAGCTTTTCTTTTAGAGCATTCGGCTCCCCTTAGCTCTGTGGCGCTGTGCATGGCAGGCGTAGTGACTTCTCATGTATTTAGTGGGGGACAGAGGGACCTTCCCAGGGCAGGGAGCACTCGCTAGCAGCCCTGGAGGAGGTCCAGCAATTAGTGTTCGTTTGCCTGCGAAGTGAGCATGGCTGAATTTCTAGAACTGAATTTCCACCTCCACACGTTAGTAACCTCAGCTGTCCAGTGTAGCGTCCCCCAGCCCCTTCGGGGTTCTCTCAGTGGCGTCCTGATGGCCGGGTTCTTTTAGACCTCAGGTAACTCACTCCTTCATCCTTCCCGTGATGCCCCTGCCTCCACAGTCCTGCCTTTCCTTTCTCCTGTAGCCGTGTCCCCTACTTTCTTTGCCTGCCTGCATCTCTTGCCTGGGCGCTGTTGCCACCTCCCAGCTTTCTCCCCCCGGGTTCTACCCCCAGAGTGGTCTTGCTGACTCCTGGCAACTCCTGAATCTGATGGACATGGGAATCACCTGGAGGGGTTGAGACTCTTCATTTCAGACGTCCCAGGTGACGGTCAGTGTGCAGCCGTATGTGGGTGTCACCGTCACTGAGACTCCACCCTCCCTCCCTCCTTCCTCGGACGCTTCCTTTGGCATTCCTGACCTGCGCCAGCCTGGCCCGGCACACATTTCCAGTCTCGTCATTCATGATATTCCTCCAGGAAAGCCACATTCCACCCCTGCCAGCACTGCCACTTCTGCCAGTGTGCCCTGCGTGGCGCCTCTCAGAGCCTGTGTGTCCTCGCTTCTCACTCTGTTGTTTCTGCTGCTGTGAGACCAGTTTCCTTTGTAGCTGTTGTTCTCCGTGGTTGATGAGTCGACCTCCTGGGGGACAGAGTAGAGCACTGCCTGGTCCAGCACCATCTTCACGATCCTTGGTCTGCTTGTGTCCATTGTTGCAGCCGCTGTGTATGTTGGGTGCCTTCCAACCTGGGGCCCATCTTCCAGCTGCTCATCTTCTGCGACTAGACATATTCTGTGGTGATCCCTAGGTTTCTATCGGCTGACTTTTGGAAGTAGACCGCCCGCCAGGCCTTTCTTCCTAGTCTGTCTTAGTCTGCAAGCTCTGCTGAAACCGTCCACCATGGGTGACCCTGTGGTATTTGAAATACTGGTGGCGTAGCTTCTGGTATCACAGTAACATGCACGTCACCACAGGACAACACGGTAACAGATGGGCGGGGGCCATATGTCATTAGCTGCCATTTTGATGATGGCACTTCTTTCCTTCTGTTTTAGCCTCACTGCTCTCTCCTTAATTAGATTCTTGACTCATCTCTGAGGCCTGCGTGATGCCTAGCACAGCTCAGTGCATGATGTTTAATAAATGTTTGTTGAAAGGAGGAATGAGTGAGACTGAGCTGAGCTCTGACAGATAAAGGTGCACCCATTCCACAGGTGTGTGCATGCTCAGCCCGACAGCTCTATCAGGTAAAATTGTTTGGTCATTTCCACCCAAATCACAATTAAAAACAGAAAAATCTGTTTGGTTGCGCATATGTAATTGAAACAACTGTATGCCTGATACATTCAGTAAACCAGTGTATGCATGTAGCTCACAATTTGCAGACTAAAAAGCAAATACTTAATATGTCGCTTGCTTATCTCTGATTATAAAAATACTACATGCTGATCATGCAGTTTTTAGCAGACTAAAGAGAAATATAAACAAGCAAAGTGGGAACGTGCCTGTAATTCCGGGACCCGAGACGACACTGTTCACACTGTGACATGTTTAACATTTCTTTGGGGAGGAGGGAAGTCTCCTTTCTTTTTTCTCTGTACTTGATACAGTTTTGTATGTGGCTTTTGATATTGTTCACGTCATAGCATTTTTTATGCCGTTAGAATTTCTTATGACTGTCATTTTAAAGACCACTTAGTCCTTCATTGAAATCACTTTCCTGCTTGTTGGCCAGAGGGGGACAGCAGGTGTGTGCCACATTCCAGCACCCTTCTCCCCATAGCGTTGGGGCGTGACAGTAAACCACTTCTCCTGTCCATGGCAACTTGAGAAGAAACACTGCCACCTCGGCTGCCCGCAGGTTGCAACATGCATTTTAACATTTCTGAAGTCTGATGCAGCCAGAGATAGCAAGTTATGTTTAATTGGCAGCATCCTTGCTTATAAAGGGGAGACATAAAATAATAGCACATAAAAATTGCAGTGTGTCTTACAATAGACGTTGGGCTATCTCAGGGTGAATGAACTATAGGGTCCTCCTTCCCTCCCTTTTAGGATTGAGCTTGTCTCCCCTGCGTAGTTCTGATTCGGTCCCCTGCTCATGGACTGTTTTCTTTATTCCCATCTTCTATCATCAATGCCAAAGTCTGAACCTTATCCCATTTGGCTGTGGTCGTAATAGCCATTTCTTATTATCACCTTTTCTTAGGCTTTATCTTGGCTGTTTACCTTCAGTGAATCCCTGTGTGCCCTCTCTCCATAGGCTCAGATCTTCCGGGATTTGATTTTATTCAGCCAGGATTTAATGCCATTCCACCCTCCTCTGCTTGGCTAAACAGATACTCTGGTTTCAACGACTCTGAAATCACACCGCGACCTTGGTGCTTGACTTACCTGGTGGTGTTATCCAAGGCCAGGATCTGCCAGCTGGTTAATCTCCAGTCGTAGGAAATTCCTTGGTAAATAGGGTCTCCTCCTATTTACCTGACTTCTGCTTCAGTTTGTTTTAGGTAAAAAGATGAACGTGCTGCAGCTTAGGCTCTTGTTGAGGTATCCAGGTTAATGTCTAGTAGATACTTGCTTGTTTGGGTTGGACTCCGAAGAGTGGAGGGTGAACATATAGATTTGGAAGTCATCTTTGTAGCCACAGATTGTACTTGAATACAAGAAAGTGGATGGAATTACCCAAGAAGTCTCTCAGAGGACCCAAGAAGGAACCTTCGGGAGTACAGATTTTGATGCTTTCGAGATGAGTATCCTCTGGAGAGTCAGTCTGGCAAGAATCTGTTCAAGGTGTTGGTTCAGTTCCATTCGAGTGTGCTGTGTTACCTATAGTTCAAGGAAACATTGAGTTTCCAGAAATACAGGGAAGGTCAAGGTACAGTGAAAAATAAACTTGGTTTGCCAGCTGATCTTCAGTGGCTTTTTCATAAAAGGTACAGTGCAATGTCTTGTGTGGAAGCCACGTTGTAGTGTGTTGGGTGGGAAGATGAATGTGGGGAGAGTGAACAATAGGTATTCACGTAATGAATAGTAACCTTTTGGAACCAAGAGTAGTAGTAGTATTTAGTGAAGAAACTAAAGGCATTTCTTTTTATCAGCTTAAAATAATACACAAACTCACGTGTTGGATAAAAATACAATCAGAGTATAAATTTATCATAATGAAGGAGATGACTCATACTCCCCTAGAATTCAAAGATAAACACACACTATCTTGCTGTGTGTCTTTTAGGGTTTTTGTGCATGCGTATGTGTATGGGTGTGTAAGTTTTACTTAAAATTATGAGACATTGTGCCGGTTTTTATGACTGCTTTTTGTTTAAAGTACCTTAAATAGCTAGCTATATCAACTTGCATTACCATAGGTTAATTTTGCTTGGTCTTGAGCTTTTAAGTTTTTATTTTGCCTGCTTTTAAACTTGATATAAATTGGAGGGATCATTCATTGTGTATTCTTTGCATCTCATTTCTTTTGCTCTGTATGTATTTATGTTTGCCCCCTGATGCTGTGTGTGACATTGGCTCACTGATTCTTACTGCTGTATGGAATGATTTTAGCACAGTTTATATAGCGTTCCTACTAGTGATGGGCATTTGAATTGTTTCACAGTTTTGACAATTAAAATCATTCTTACGGGCATTCTCATTCACGTTCGTCTCTATATGTATTTACTCACACACGTATCTGACAGAGGAAGGGCTGGGTTATTGGGTACTTCCATGCTCTGCTATAGTGGACATCACCAGTTCCCCAAAGTCATTGTAGCAGTGCACACTTCACCCACAGCGTGTGAGCGGGCTTACCATCCCTTGGCATTGTCATTAAAAAAAAAGAGAGCTATCTGTTTGCCGTGTAGTTGTATTTTGCTGTGGTTTGGTTTGTATTTCCCCAGTGAGTGCCTTTTCTGTTGAGTACCTTCTCAGATGCTAACTGACCGTTTGAATATCCTTTATATGTAAATCGTGTGTTCAGATCGTCTGTCCATTATTTATTTAGATGACTGTCATTTTCTTACTTGTGTGGTTGTTGTCAGGTGCTGTTGAGTTGGTTCCAACTCGCAGCGACCTTCTGTACAGCAGAGCAAGGCACTGTCTCGTCCTGCGTCAACCTCACATTGTTGCCAAGCTGGGCCCACTGTTGCAGCCGCTGTGTCAGGCCATCTCAGTGAGGGTCCTCCTCTTCCTTGCTGACCCTCTGCTTCACCAAGGATGACATTCTTCCCCAGGGACGGTCCCTCCTGATAATGTGTCCCAAGTACAAGGACGAAGTCTTGCCATCCTTGCAGCTGAGTAACAGTCTGGCTGTACTTCATGCAGATTAGCTCATTGTTCTAGCATTCCACGGTACGTTCACTGTTCTTCATCAACAGACACCATAATTCAGATACGTCAGCTCTTCTTCAGTCTTCGTTATTGCTTGTCCAGCTTTCGTGTGCATATAAAGCATTTGAAAATAGCTTAGAAAACCCAGTGGGGGCAGTTCATCTCTGTCACGTGGGGTCGCTGTGAGTTGAAATCGACTTGAAGGCCACTAACCGCAATAACACAAACACACACAGTGACACTCGTGCGTGTATTTTGCAGCATCTCCAAATGAAACTTTTAATGTCCGACATCAGAGATGGTAGTGAGATAAATGGTCACCGTAGAAAACACAGTGACATTTCCCTCTG